CTATCTATCTATCTATTTCTCTATCTCTCTCTCTCTCTCTCTCTCTCTCTCTGTCTATCTATCTATCGATCTCTATAATTTGTATATCTCCATTTTTAATCTGTCTTATCTGTCTGTTTATCTGTTTGTCTGATCTCTCTCTTTCCGTCTCACGATCTTGTGTCTCATCAGTCTCTCTTTCCCCCGTCGATATTCCTACGGGTTTTAGGCGATAGAACGCTAGTTAACCACATTAGTTGTGTAGCTTAAGTACTTAAGTAGCGTGAGTATTAGTGTAATAGAGTAGTAAGTAGTAAAGTGTGGCGGGGTGTGTGTGTTTTGGGGCAGGTTCATCACGGCGTTCTCGCAAGGCATAGACTTGGATATGGATCTGCGCACGTTGCGTGCGATACGCGTGTTGCGACCGCTCAAACTTGTCTCCGGCATACCGAGTGAGTAGCGTTTCAATACAAATTCGGCCCGCGAGTGTGGCGGCCGAGACGATCGGGAAACAAACGATTCGGGAATCTGTCGGCGCCGAGTCTCTCTTCTCGTTTCTTTCGCTACCGTCGAACCGATCGATGTCCTTCCCCACTCTGCTCGTTAAATTTCGCGTCGAGCAACTCGTTTCGCGCGTTACGCACTTTTAACGTTAACCGGCTGAAACGTTTGTTTGATTTATTGTTTAAATGAATGTTTAACCCTTCGACTGCGGTGCACCGAGAAGTAGAAAACTTGGCTGTGCATTCTTCAGTATATTGAAATAAAACATTCAGGTTCTCCACGTTAGAACAACATTTATTTTGCATTCTGCGTTAAATGAAGAATTTAGTGCTAAAAGTTGTACTCGTCGAAGGACGAACGCACGTAGAGTATATTTTAATGAAAGAAAGCGAAACAAAGAATTATATGTTTATGTGAAAAGATAAAGAATTCATGAAAGAATTAGTATGGTGTCACAGTTAACTGGTCAAGCGTCTGCAGTACCAGAGCAACTTTTTCATTCCGAGTGTCTTCAGGCGGCAACAGTAGTCAAAGGGTTAAAAAGAGAATTTAAATGAATTTTATACCAAGCGTCGCTTATTCGTCGTTGAAAGGTGTCCAAAGATCTAGTCATTATGCACTATTCGAGCATAGTCAAACGATTTCGTTAACTTGAAATATTCTGGATCAAGTTTTCCGATATTTTCCAATGAGCACCTAATTAACCAACGGGGAAAAATACAAATATCCCCGCGCGTGATTTCGAGATCGGTGGAAAGGAAGGAGAAGAGACGGCGAAGGAAGATCGAATTCGAAAAGCATACGGAAAGAACCGAGAAAGCAGAAGGAATAGAAGAAGAAGAAAAGGAAAAAGGAAAAAAAAACGTAGAAAGTTCGGTGCTCGAGGAACGCGCGTCGCGGGGAATTGGAAGCCTTCCCGCGCCCGGAATTCGGATACTTCGTGGATAACCGTCCCGTTCGCCACGGAACGTTCGCGTCCGCCGCGACCGTGTGCGGCGGACACGTTTCGGGCGTATGAAGTTCTCGTAGATATCAGTGTAGTAAGTTTTTAATGCAAGTATATATATATTACATATCTCTATATTATCTATATATCTATATATTTATACATACATATTCTACACGTAGACATGCCTTGCAACGTTAGAACGATTATGTTGTTTTTATGTAGCACCACCCAAATAGATCTATATACATTTTGAGAGTGCTGTATGCTGTGTCCAGTTGTAACGACGAAGTATCCCAATTGTTTGGCCGCTGGATCGATCGCGAGAAACTCGGCACGAGACGAGTCAAGAATGAAAAATAAAATATCCAAACGATTCTCGCGGCAGGAACGGTTGCAACACGAAAAGAACATCGACATCGAATGCTTTCGCGATCGGGAAGATCGACGCGTGAAAGAAGCGTCGAATCGATTTTTGGGACAGGAACGCGCGCGACTCCGCGAGCGCGATTCCCCGAGCAGCGACAGAAACGGGAACGAACGGGAATAAACGGGGGACGTTCCCCCGGAAGTAAATCGATCCGATAGTGACGCGCGATAATCGCTCGAGGACGGGCGGTGGTAGGGCCTAATTACTCCTCGGCAACTTTTTGCGAACAGGTCTCCAGGTGGTGCTCAAGTCTATCATCAAGGCGATGGCCCCGCTTCTGCAGATCGGCCTGCTGGTACTTTTCGCCATCGTGATATTCGCCATCATCGGCCTCGAGTTTTATTCGGGAACCCTGCACAAAACGTGTTACAGCATCAGGGATATCCGTGAGTAGGGCGATCGGCCTTGTTCATCGGTGAATCGGGAACGGAAAGCGACAACCTCTTCGAATGAAAACGATTGTCGCTGATTCTCGCGTAACTCGAATTCGTATTTCGCTTCGTAATGGGTTACGAATTCCGTTCTCGCGACTGGTGGTCTTCGAATTACGAGCTGATATCGAAATGATATACTGACGCATAACTGGTACGATAGATTCTGATTCCATGTGAAAAGTCGGTAGAGAAAATAGAATGAGATTCGTTGTTGAGAATTTGTTTTTAATCTGTTCGATATTAATCTGTTGTGACTACCGTGCGTTATTGAATCTCATTATGAAGATCACTTGATATTTACCACAGCATTTAAAGAAATATTAAGTTTGATTAGAACTGATTGTCCGTTTAAAATATATTACATAACAATATGATACTTCAGTATTTTTATAGATAGTGATATGTGTGGATCTCACTGAAAATCAGCACAATTCTATTTTCTGATAATTAGCCGGTACGCAATGTGTTGATTGTCAAGTGCAAAGTCGATTTTCTCGAGAGCAAATTGTATTGTATATCTTCATTATCAAGTTGACATCGTTGACCATTTTGGAACAAAACGTCCCGACGAGCGTAGCAAGAGGTTAAATGGCAATTTCGCGACGAAATTCGTCGACCACCGATCGTACAGAATCGAATGACAGCGAACGGAGGACTGCTATGGCCGCGGATTATGGGGCGTTCCCTGACGATCGTTCTGTTGCAGATTTTATCATGAAGGAGGGCGAACAGGCGAGCCCGTGTAACACGGACAACAAATCCGAGGCGCCGTTCGGGGCCCACGTGTGCGACGCGAACGTCTCGACGTGCATGGATCACTGGGAGGGACCAAATTACGGCATCACCAGCTTCGACAACATCGGATTCGCCATGCTCACTGTCTTCCAGTGCATCACTATGGAGGGCTGGACTGCCATATTGTACTGGGTAAAGCAAGAGATATGTCCTTCAGTGTTAAATCAACGAATAACTCTGTTTCTCTGTTTCTCACTCCTTTTCTCTCTCTCTCTCTCTCTCTAACTCTCTCTATATATCTGTCTCTCTGTCTCTGTATTTATCCGTTCCGTTTCACTATGTCGTGCATTCCGTCGGCTCCGCGCACGCTGCCGGCGCTTCTCGCGGAGCCACGAGTTTCAGATCCTCGGCCAAAACCTCCTGCGGCGTTTCGCGAATTTTCAATTCGTGGCTTCTCCATTTTCACTCCGGGCCGACGAGTTTTGTTCCTTCGATCCGGTATTCACGCCTGTTTTCGAGCTGGATTCCATTGGTCTTTCATTGCCCCTGTTTTCTCTGTTCATTTTATTCCGTACGTTTTCGTGAATATCTTCCGAAAGATCGGTTGACATTGTCATTGAACCCTTTGCACTCGATAATATTCTTCATTAAAAATATTCGTTACTTTCTGACTAGATATTCACGATATTTTTCGCGACTGATATAATTGATTATCTTCTATAAATTAAAAGACAGAACTATTTTACTTCGGTGTTTTATGTGTTGATACATTACACGAGGTTTGATATTGAATTGAAAATTTTACAAGTTTGCTACGCCTCGAGTGCAAAGGGTGAATATTAACACTAGGTTCACGGAACGCGTCAATTTGACGCAGATCGAATTTTATAAACATTTGGTAAATGTTTCAATCGGTTTTCGTCGATCCAATTACACGAATATGAATCCTGTACAATAAACTGTACAATAAATGCCCGTAAACCTAGTGTCAATGGTTGATCGATTTTCCTTCGAGCCCGTCACTTCCCTCGATTCGTTACGACTCGCTCGAAACCGGCGTGGACGGTCTCAACAGTCGTCGACCCGACGATCGCGATCTTCTCCCTCTGTGCCCCGTTCCGATCTTGCCTGCACTAACGCTCTTTCTCCATACTTTCTCTCGATCTAAGTGTGACCACTCTCCATAAACGTTTCTCTATCTCGTTGTTCGTGTTATTTTCTCGGTGTACCTGTTTGTCTCTGACCTTTCTCTCCCTTTCTCTATGTCTCTCTGAATCTCTTTCTTTCTCTCTCTTTCTCTCACTGTTCCTTTACCTATGTCTGTGTTTGGCCGATGACAGTTTGGCTTCCGCCGTTTTCTTGTTCGCTCACGGCCGTGACGAAGAAGAGAAGCGCTTGCAAGACGCGTGCCCAGAACAGCTCTCTAACACTGACGTATATGTTCACCTTGCTCAGTATAACACTGTCAGTTTCAGCCCTCTTTGCAAGATATCTTGGTGTTGATCATATGTATCGTGTATCATCGTGTACAATCTTTCCACGCTTCGTTCCGCGAGACGATCCTCGGAACTCGAAGAGACCGATCGAGCTCCGTGCTCGCGAGGGAACGATTACGATCGGTCCTCTTCCGGTTCCGAGCGCGACACGTCGAACCGACGATCGCGTTCGAATTTCAGCGAAACGTTCCGCAGCTGAGATACAAATTTTAGCACCTTGTCTCGATGTGCAAATTAAATTCTCGTTGTCTTGGTGTACAAAGTAACATGTGGCAAATTCTTTACGCGTGTGATACGTGTTTCGCGCATTGTGCGTGCAATACACTCGCGCGAATTACGCGGCACAATTGGAACAATTCGTCTCACGGTAGAACGGCACGTGCTCCGAGTTTTCTATTGAATATTGGGTGATATTCCATTAATGTCTGATGATATTCTATTAATCTTCATCTAAAGATTCGGTGATATTCTATTAATCTTCATATATCTTACAAGAACAGAGTCGGACAAAACTCTTTTCGAATGAAACCCTCGCACATGCCATAGCATATCTAGAAACGAAAAACCTCTTGGCTTTGACAATAATCCTCCATTTTCGAAAACAATGGGCTTCAAATTTCCATGTCACTGTAATAAGACGATTAGAAGCCTACAAGTGTTCCAAATCTCCACGCTGAAATTCCCTTCTCTACATTTTCCTTTTCCTTTGAATTGTAATCTCTAAGCAACTCATATTTTATTATATCATTCACCGTCCTATTACAGTAACATGCAAGCTCAAAACTAGTTTCTCGAAAACGAGGAACCATTGACAAGAAAACCACGAAGTTTCGTTCCTAGATACACACCACATGTACTGAGTTTCATTAAAACTCAGATTTATACGCCCTGTTCCTCATTACTACCGTAATTTCTCAAAATCTCGCGGCTGCCGGTACCAAAGTGACGCGCGAAAGGCGGCGTATCGAGAAAAAACGTGGGAAAAGATTGGAAGAACGACCGACGTTCGAATCGTCCGTGCCGCCGCGTTCGATCGGCCGGCACCGATGCCGACGCGGCACGCACCGCTTAAACGCACGGGCTTCACGTGGATCTGGTGAAATTTGCAGACAAACGACGCTCTTGGCAGCACGTACAACTGGATTTACTTTATACCATTGATCGTCCTCGGCTCATTCTTCATGCTGAACTTAGTTCTCGGTGTTCTGAGCGGGTGAGTACACTTCGATTCTCCTCTCCGTCCCCTTTCGATCTCTCTCGCCCCGGATTTTCGATCTCCCCCCGGCCCGAGACGCACGCGCGCGCGTGCACCCGACCCTCTATGTCTTTCTTTGTCCGTCAGGGAGTTTTCTAACGAACGAACACGCGTCGAGAGGCGGGCGGCTTATCAGAAAGCAAAGAGAAAACGTCTGTTCACGACTGCGTTCAGTGCCTACTTAAAGTGGATCACTCAAGCAGGTCTCGAAACGATCGATCTTTTCCCTCGAGTTTGTCGCCCCGGTAGCGCCGTTGCGTTGTTTGTCCGCATATCGAGGGACGTTCTTCCGTGTACCGGGTGCTCCTGGAAGACGAGCGAGTTGTCGACGATACCTTTGACACGACAGTCGCGTTGAAATCGGCGATGGATAACGAAAGGAATTATTTTTCGTTGATTAGTCGATTCTTCGGAGTTCGATCAAAGTTTCGACTTTCGGAATTAGTATACCTTTTTATTTGTAATGTTAATAATATAGGACAGCCATTGCTGTCATTTCCATATGCTCGCGATTGGACTCGACTCGCGTTGTCAAGAATTTTCTATGTTAGCGCTTGTTCTTCGTGACAGTTGGAAATGGTACTAATAATTATTAACTCGGTATCGCGACAATGTCGCATTATCAAGTTACTAAACATCCTCACTCGATAATTTTCTGATTGCAACTGTTTTCAAGCAACTCGAATGCTCCGGAGCAGTCATCGCGTCGAGAGACTAATCGATACTCTCGACGTAGTTAAAAGGAAAATAAATGCAACGATAATTCCTCCTTTCGAGAGACCATTCGAAAAGTTGGTCGGTTACTCGCACACCCGGTACACGCGGAGTTTCACGATCGAGGCACTCTCGGCGATTCTTCGCGCGAAGCGTCGCTTCGACAACTAATCGCCGGTGTTCCGATTGTCCCGCGCTCCCCGCAACAGCCTATATTGTTAGCAACAAATCCTGGAAACCGCTGAAACCGGTAGCAGTAGCTCGAGGCGGGTAAACGCTAGTCGCCAGTGGTAAGATCCGACCGCGTGGAAGCTGTATCTTCTCGTAGCGCCAGCAATCTCCGTTTCGATCACGCTCCGCGTAACAGCTCGAGTAGAACGACCAAAGAGCAACGCAATCCTGGTAGGGATATCTGTTGGGTCGATGCATAAATTAGTTCCTTTCCACTCGACGAACTGAAATTCTTCGCCAATACCAGAACCACCGAACAATTAGAGCGACTTGTATCAATTTTATAGAAAAATCGGAGCAATACATCCTGTTTCAAAAGATCTAACGTTGGTATCCTCTAAACAACATTTTACACTATCTTTTGTAGTTCCAGAGTTAAATAAACTCTTTACCGAAGATTCTACGAAGTTACACATAGAATACCTGAATAATACAGAATAATTAAACTGTGTACTGATTTATTGATTGTTTCGAATGATTGTTGAACCACGGAACTCCCTTCTGCAACGGTCCAACAGCTCGCTAGAGTAAAGTCTCGCGCGTATTTTGTGCCCCGCGCGACCCAAAGGGGGGGTGGAGCTAGAAACGCTTTACCATCGGCCGCCACGTAACCGCCCTATCATGTCTCTGTAACGCTTGTAGAGAGTTTGCGAAGGAGAGAGAGAAGGTGGAGAACCGGCAGTCCTTCCTGAAGTTGCGAAGACAGCAGCAGCTCGAGCGTGAACTGAACTGTTACCTGAATTGGATCTGCAAAGCAGGTTAGAGAGCCAAACCAGAGTGACCCGCCACCGCATCGACTATCGATCGCTATCTCCGTTCCTTTACCTTTAAGCTGGTAACCCCTCCGACTAGACGATACGTTCGCTCCGGCTTTCTTCTCGGTCCCTTGTCGGCCAGTTATTTATCCCGCGCGCATTCTCTCCCGCGTATCGCGCGTAGAGTACGGTTTAGAGTCGATCTTCTCCACTGAATGTTAACGCTGTTGTTTCTAGAGGAGGTAATACTCGCGGAAGAGAGGACCACGGAAGAGGAGAAGCTGCACATATTAGAAGGTTCGTCATTAATTCTCAATCAAACCCGTAAAATCGATCGATTCCAAATTATTCTCGCGTCTTCCCGAGGACATTTGAAATTTCCAGTTTCGCGAGAATACTGCTACAGTTCGAACACGAATGAAAAATGTTTATTCAATTTATTATATACGTTCAATCTGTATATTCTAAATAAAACATTTCATTCGAAATGTTCGCTATGAATATTTTCTGATGAATGTTTCGATCGAGCGACTAGGAACATACGAACTTCGTTTACAGGGAGAAAACGAGCCGCGGCGAAGAAGAAGAGAATGAAGAACCTCGGCAAGAGCAGAAGCACGGACACGGAGGAGGAGGAAGGCGACGACGACCAGGACGACGGTGAGTCGTATTTTTTCAGCGCGCCCAGGTTCCCCGGAAATCGTCGATCCGCGAAGCTCTGCGTCGCCGGAGTCGGTGTTACGACCGTCCGCCGATCTCTCGCTCGAGTCTCGAGTTGAATTCGACCGGTTCGTAGCGTCGACTCCGCAGTTCGTTCCCCGGAAGCGAAAATCTTCAGCGCCTCCATTGGCTTTGGTTTCATCGGCACCGGCACGGCGTAACTCTGCTCGTGGCCTGGCCGGAAATGCGATTCGATCCCTTAATTCTGAGATCGCTCGCAACCTTCCTTAGCGTCCTCTCCGTAGAAAGAAGTTCCGCCGAAGTGAAACCGATTATTCGATATCCATTCGAGAGACACGTGTCGCGTCGCGAAATCGCTTGAAGAGGGCTATTGACGGAACCTCCTGCGAGGTACATTAGAGCTCTGGGTATTTTTACCATAGCAGGAATAAAAGCCCAAGGAACCGTTGCTTCGCTAATTTAGTCGCACTTCGGCGCGTTTCACCAGTTTTATAGATTCACCATAGTTTTAACCTTACGTCCGTTTGCCAGAAGTCGAGGCGATCCTTGGTTTTATTACTCGCTATGGTCAGTGACGAGAACGCTCGGGACCCTTGCGTGGCTCACCCGGGGCTGCAATCGGCAACCCCTCTAGGATCGCTGGTCGAGGGGAAGTTAGTTCTACTCGAAGGAATTCGTTTGCACGCGCCCACTACCTCGGAAGGCTACGAATCAGGCGGACTTCCAATTTTGCGCACGCCTACCCAAAGGTTTATAAAAACCCACGCAAGATACGGAGACGATAGATGTACAAGATAGATTCAAGCTAGACAAACGAGACGGAGTGTACAGACCTCGTTGTAGACACCGCTGACGAGTATCACCGAATTCTCTTAATAAACAGCGAGTTATCTCCACCGAAGTAAATATTAACACGTTAAGCGCCACGAAAATCTTAAGCGTTTTCCCATAGAGTCTGTCTTTTGTAGCAAAGAAAAGTAGGAATACTTATGAATTGTTCGGCGTTGGAACGTTTGCGTTACACTATTATCAACTTAGTTGCCTTATTGAACATTTTTATTTCACATCGGCTGTCCTGTACGTTACGATTGTCTTTTAGTCATTCAGAAGCGTCGGTCACCAGTGGCTGACACGGCGCTTAACGTGTTAATACGGTCCACTTCCAATCAGTCGCGCAAAGTTAAGTCGGCGTGCGACGTACGGGTTTCACTGTTAAAATTTCGAAATAGAAAACGCGTGCTCGATGACACGAGCGACCCTTCCGGAAAAGAACTAGCTGACGACGGCCCCACTAATGAAACGCACGCTATCAGATGCTCCTCTTGTTTCAGAGCCTAAGAAAAGCCTGAAAGGTAACTACAGCTCTCGATGCAGCCGACTCTCGCGATCAGCGACGCAATTAAAGGCTGCGTACCCGTAACTTGACTTCTGCAATTGCTTTCTTCTCGTGTTGTTTTCCGTGTGTTGATCTCAGAGAGGCTCCGCCCTTTGGTACACGCTCCCACACACGCGTTCACACGACACACACGGACATATACACGTACACACGCGTAAACCTGTAACAGGTATGCTGGCGCGCAATCGACTCCGCTGCAGAGCATACTTCGCGCAACCAGTCGTGAACCGTAATTGTCACGTAGTCGCCGTATGTGTATATGATACCGGGTTGACGAGGAAGCTGCCTCCCCCGCTCAATGGACCGTTCAATTTAATTGTGCCGTTCGTTATAATTCAATCCCCGCGATCCGGCTAAATGAAACTTTTATTCTATCAACGCTGAAACTACCGGCTCAAGATGACCCGCTCCTGATTTCTTCTCTCCGCGATTGTTGAAACGGACGTCTCTTCGAGAAAACGAAGAATCGTGAATCGATTCTAGTCTGAACAGATGCACTCTTGGAGTTCCTACAGGGGAACTTCAAATGAACTCGATCGGTAGTTCCAGTGTTAACATTCTAACAGCGAACGTTCCTACAATCAATTTCCTTCGATATTTCGTTAAAATTGCCCCTTTTCTCGTTAAATCGAATACAGTCGTTCAATTTCGTTTACCTACGAGTAACTTATAGTGCACTGGAGACGGAGGTTCCTCGCCAACCCAATAGAACTATGTTTTAGGAGAGTTGCGCGTCATAGATCTGTCGGCGGCGTTGCTTAGGATTCGCGGCCGACTCCGCGGACGATCGGGGCCGCCGATTAACTGGATGTTTCTTTTAGGAACTGCTTCTGTTGGCTGGTGTCGCTGTACTCGTATCGATATCCCGATCTGTGTGTGTCCGTGTTGTCCGTGCAAGCCGCTCGATGAAGTATTCGCGAGGGGAACGCGCGTCGAGTCGCGAATACTTCGAGCTCGGCCCTGCGGCTCCAGGCGAGGCCTAGATTGCGAAACACCGACGCCGGTGTTCCTCGTAAACGCGTACGCGCCGTCTCTCGGAGGTATTTGATCGCCGAACTTCCGATCCGCACGGGAATTCCGATTTTTACGGGCGTGTTCCAGGCGGCAGGTGTTTCGCGTTAATTTATTCCGACGACCGAGCGTTCGTCGATCGAACATTCCGTTTATCGCGCGTTTCGCGCTCGAAAGCCGCGCAGCCTCGAAGCGTCGACGTTTCGACGATGTTTATCGCTAAAAGGGCGACTCGACGGAGCGTTTCGAGTATTCGCAAGTTCGCCCGATTAACCTCGACGCTTCGCTCCCGATCTGAGTGTCTCGTCGGCGATCGAACACGTTCGAGAGCGGTTCTGCGCGAACGTTATCGTAGTTGGTGTACCAGTACCGGCGAGTTGCCTTATCCGAATATCGTAGAACAATTAGTGGCGCGCGCGCGGACCGGACGGAATCGATTCGACGAAAAATAGACTGCCAGAAATAGGCGCCGTCCCATAGAAGGTACGACAGACGGACTGGGTCGAAGTACTTTACACTACTAGCGGATAGATTAGTCACACGCACACCGCCGATCACACGTACAGACAGACAGACAGTCCGCTTTCATTAGAGCACCAGTGCTTAGATATAGATTTGTCTCTGTCCTAATTATTTATATAGGATGTAACTATATATTGTCTGTGTGCCGAGTTCGGGGAGGAGGAATTGGAGGAACAGATCACGGGACTTCCCAGTCGAATCGCGGTACGATACGCGAATCATGTGAATCTCTTGTGAATGAAGTAACTGGCATTCCGAAATTTCGGGGGATCTCTATGCGAAACGATCGATCGACTGGCATATCTTGGAAACGTCCGAAAGCACACGAACCTCCCATTCGCGGTTGTCGTTCCCGTTCGAATGCTAACGGTCCGCTGGCTGGTGGTTTTCAGGGTACTCGAGATCTTCCTACATCAAGTCGAGGGTGAAAGACAAAGGGACCTGCGTGCAATTCTGGCGGGCGGAGAAGAGGTTCAGGTTCTGGATCCGGAACTCCGTGAAGTCGCAAAAGTTCTACTGGTTCGTGATCGTCCTCGTGTTCTTCAACACCGTGTGCGTGGCCGTCGAGCATTACGGTCAGCCCTCGTGGCTCACCGAATTCCTCTGTGAGTAATCGTCGAGAGGATTCGCTCTCGTCGCTGAGAACCTTAACAGCAGGTTTACGGAACGCGTCGAATTGAACGAGCATCGATTCTTTCGGGAATAATAGAACGAAGTGTACGATAAATGCCCGTAAACCTGGCGTTAATTCTGGCGTTCGTTTCGTTGATTTCACGCGTGCGCGGGTATCATTGTTTCATTCGACGCTGTCTTTTCTGTTCGTAGACTTCGCGGAGTTCGTGTTCCTGGCCCTGTTCATGATGGAGATGTTCATAAAGGTGTACGCGCTCGGCCCCCGCACATACTTCGAGTCGAGCTTCAACCGTTTCGACTGCGTGGTCATCTCGGGATCGATCTTCGAAGTGATCTGGTCCGCGTTGAAGTCCGGCTCTTTCGGCCTCTCCGTCCTACGCGCCCTTAGACTCCTGCGAATTTTTAAGGTCACCAAATACTGGAAGAGCCTCAGGAACCTCGTAATATCGCTGCTCAGCTCGATGCGTAGCATCATCTCCCTGCTCTTCCTGCTCTTCCTCTTCATTCTCATATTCGCGCTGCTCGGCATGCAGCTGTTCGGCGGCCAGTTCAATTTCGAGTCCGGCACGCCGGCCACCAACTTCAACACCTTTCCCATCGCGCTGCTCACTGTCTTCCAAGTGAGTAACCGAAGCATATCTTTAAGTGCAATCCTCTATTCCTCTACGAAACTATGAAATTTCTGTAAATCTTAACCCTTTGCGGACGAAGATTCGTTAGAGTATAGAAAACCTTTGGACGGAGTCAGATTCCGCATCAGATTAAACGATAGAGAAAAAGGAAACTATGCACTGATCTCTTTCTATTCGAGTAATTCAGTAACTCTCTGCAACTTAGTATTCCGTATATGAAAGTCTCATCCAAAATGTCCACTTTCATCCGCAAACGGTTAAAATAATCAATTTAACCCTCTGTAGGCCCGTGTAACTTTAAAGTCACGCATCAGTATATTGGCATCTTGTTGATTCATTTCATTTTGCACTCGATGTGGCGAATAAAATTAAGTAGTCGGTTAACTTCAACTTTCATACGGTCAGGCGTGAAAGTTTGTCATTGTAACTTGAAAGTTACAAAATATATTCGTTCGATGAAATTAATGAAACTATTGAATACACTGCTAATTCGGATTCCTATGTGGACATTTATTAATTCTGTGCATAGATTTTGTTACGATCATGAACAAAAATTCGGTCCATAGAGGGTTAAACTATAGAATTTAGAATTCAAAGTATATTATATTGTGAATAGAGTAGATCTACTGTTCGAACGGGAGAAAGAAAAGTGAAAGAATGTCAGGAAAGAAGACACGAAGCATGGTCTTTCCTTTACACCGTTAGCGATAGAGGATCTTACAGAGAACGAGCGTTCCTTTAACGAGACGATCGTTTCGCAGATCCTGACCGGAGAAGATTGGAACGAAGTGATGTACCAGGGTATCGAGTCGCAAGGCGGTCACAGGAGGGGCATGGTATACTCGCTCTACTTCATCGTGCTGGTGCTCTTCGGCAACTACACGCTGCTGAACGTGTTCTTGGCTATCGCCGTGGACAACCTGGCGAACGCACAGGAGCTGAGCGCCGCCGAGGACGAGGAGAAGGTCGAGGACAAGGAGAAGCAGGCGCAGGAACTCGAGAAGGAGATCGAGTCTCTGCAGAAGCCGAAGGATGGTAGCCCGCCAAAGGTGGCAGTCTGCCCTCCGAGTCCTACCCAAAACTTGTAAGCGACTAGCCTCGGACGCGTCCGATAGGGGTGGTATTAATTCGACACCTCGCGATTTCAGCAAAGACGGAAAAGGTGGGAAGCAGTCGTCCGAAGAGAAAAAGCAGGATGAAGACGATGACACGGGACCAAAACCAATGCTGCCATACTCCTCCATGTTTATACTGTCCCCTACGAATCCGTAAGTGTTCCCCTTTTACTTCCGGTGTTTCGGATAACTGTGATTGTAGTGTGTTCAGCGTAGTTATACTTTTGAGGAGCGTGAATCAGTGTGAGTGGACAATAAGAGGAAAAGTCTCTAAAAAAGGTCCAATTCCACGTTAGGATTCAAAGGATGTGTTTGAGAGATTGAGAGTGAGAAGAATGATTGCGGAGAGAATGATTTTTTAGTGGGAACTGGAAGAGTTTTATCGTTGATGAACCTAGTTATGTTTTAGTTCTGTATGTTAATATATCCATATGTTCGACACTGTACAATGATGATCCGCATCTCTAATTTCGACAGCGTAAGAAGAGCCGCCCATTGGGTCGTCAACCTGAGGTACTTCGACTTCTTCATAATGGTGGTGATATGTTTGTCGAGTATCGCGTTGGCCGCCGAGGACCCGGTGTGGGAGGACTCGCCGAGGAACGAGGTTCTGAACTACTTCGATTACGCGTTCACCGGTGTCTTCACCGTCGAGATGATCCTGAAGATCATCGATCTCGGGATCATCCTGCACCCGGGCTCGTATCTCCGCGAGTTCTGGAACATAATGGACGCGGTGGTGGTGATATGCGCCGCGGTGTCGTTCGCGTTCGACATGACCGGCAGCTCGGCCGGACAGAACCTCTCGACGATCAAGTCGCTGAGGGTGCTGCGAGTGCTCAGACCGTTGAAGACGATCAAACGAGTGCCGAAGCTGAAAGCGGTGTTCGACTGCGTGGTGAACAGTCTGAAGAACGTCATTAACATTCTCATAGTGTACATATTGTTCCAATTCATTTTCGCTGTGATCGCGGTGCAGCTGTTCAACGGGAAGTTCTTCTACTGTACCGACGAGAGCAAGTATACGGAACAGGATTGCCAGTGAGTACCGATACCGCCGGTGTCCTTTTCTTAACGGTCGAGAAGTGTCTGTCGTTGACGGTTCGTGGTAGACCGTTTCAACCGTTTTCGGCTTTACTTAGAACGCCTGTTTGAATTAGTCGTTGACGTAGCTGTAATTAGTATCCCGTGAAGCAAATCGGAATTATTCTAACGCAACGTGTCCCGCAGGGGTCAATATTTCGTTTTCGATGAGGGCGCCATGCTGCCGGAGCCGAAGAAGCGGGAATGGCTGTCCCAGTGTTTTCACTACGACAACGTGATGGCGGCCATGCTGACGCTATTCGCGGTGCAGACCGGCGAGGGCTGGCCGCAGATTCTGCAGAACTCGATGGCGGCCACGTACGAGGACAAGGGCCCCATCCAGAACTTTCGTATAGAAATGTCCATTTTCTACATCGTCTACTTCATCGTCTTTCCATTCTTCTTCGTCAACATCTTCGTGGCCTTGATCATCATCACTTTCCAGGAGCAGGGAGAGGCCGAACTGCAAGACGGCGAAATCGATAAGAATCAGGTTCGTCGGCGATCGAAAACCCTTCTCTCTCGCGAATGAATGATCCCGGTGATCTCCATGTCGCTCGTTTCTTTCAGAAATCTTGCATAGACTTCACGATACAGGCACGCCCGCTGGAAAGGTACATGCCGAAAGAGCGTAACAGCGTAAAGTACAAAATCTGGAGGATAGTGGTATCGACGCCGTTCGAATATTTTATCATGGGTCTCATCGTATTAAACACGTTACTGCTCATGATGAAGGTAAGCCAGCCCGTCGCGATTCGTTTCCAACCGAGAGAAGCAATCGGTCGGCCGCCGATCGACCAACGCGGAGGCGCGCCGCTCTCCGTCGTCGGCGTGTTACGATCGCCGAAGAAACGAGAACATTCCATCCGATCGCCGCCACGCAGTCGCGATTCTTCTCGCGTCGTTTATTTCTCCGGGGAACCACCGCTCGCGAATCGCCGCGTACCGTACAACGCGTGTGCTCGATTTTCTCGCGAACTACCGGCAACTTTAACCAATCGCTCTCGCGAACCACCGGGAAAAAAGAGAGAACCGAGACGACGCCGATCGTCGCCGATCGCGCGACACGGTTTATAGAACGGACTCGTCGACGAGAGCACGTGATCGTCCGGCGAAAACGTCGCGCGCACAACGGGAGCGAGTTCGAACCGAGCGTAAGACAATTACGTTATATCTGTACGAGGACATTGTTGTTCTTGCCTGCCAATTTATTTATTGCTCTCTGTATAATTGTCATTCCTTGTATATCCATATTGGTACGTGTACACAGCTGTGTTGGATTACTCTTGCGTGTACCCCCTCTGTCCACCCCTCAGAGACCAGTGAACCATCTCCCTCTTTGACTGTACTTCTTTCTCTCTTTCTTTCTTTCGACTTTCAGTTCGACTTTGCTCGACGCTTTTTCTATTCTGTGCTCCTCCGTTCGTTTTCGAATCGAGACGTTATTCTTTGAGAGGTTCACCGTGTGCGAGTGCCGCGACCAGACGGTAATAATGATAACATTGCGATCCATTCAACGCTTCGACTGCCGAGTACTCGTCGGAACTTCTGTGTAGCCGAAACAGCGTTCTCGGTAAATCCGAAACGAAAGAGTCGAGATTCTCCGTACAGATTACTCTATCTCTTCTGTATCTCGTATATCCAATAGTTCTCAATTAGAAATTTTCACTCGGAAAATGAATGTTCAAGTTTGTTCAAAATTGCAAAATTGCAGTCAAAGTGTAAACGACTATAGCCAACGTTCGTAGATATTCGAAGAACACTCCGCTAATCGAAGAACGCAGTGGACAAAACTATAAACAGATATTTAAACAATAATAAACGAAAAAATATGAGAACGAGAAGCGAAATGCACTCGCACGCGGCGTCGTCAACCTCGCGCTCACGAGGACGGTATTTTCCGCTTTCCATATTGCCTCTGTATTTGTTCCTTTCTCAGCGAACCTGTTTTCGAACTTTCTCGTTTTCTCGACCTGTCGGTGTGCCTTCTATACATCCCCCTCTCTGCCCCCCCTCTGATTTGCATGACCGCTGCGCTGTGTCCTCGTTACGACAGTAGAACAGTACTCCGGTGCAGCGCGAGAGGAACGAATTATCGGACGTCGTTCCGTTCCACGCGATCACGGACACGTATTTCCACCGATATATGAACACGAGACACACGTTACACACACGAATATACACGCGATGGTGCGTTCGACTCGTACAAAAAGCCTCAACAAGCCCATGTTTGAACTGGTGGCGGGGTTCGAAGCTGTGCACGAATGTCTGGCTTGATCGCGCCCAGCGGCAAACGACAGCCGTCTGCGAAAGGACAAGAGAAAGGAAGAACAAAGAACAAGCTGCGAGAGCCCTGGCACAGTGCAAGCCCGCGACAACCACTTTTACTGCACTCTTCTTTGGTCCTTCGCTCTCTATCTCTCTCTCTCTCTCTTTTTTACACACTTTCTCTTTAACCCTTTGCCTCTGTCCCTCCCTTTTCTCTTTCATTTCGCGCGCTGGCTGCGAACGCACAGAGGAATATCATGCCCGAACACGCGTCCCAGATGACGCGATGCGCTTCAATATACATCGTATTAGCGCTCGCGCGTGGGATCGCGGACAGAGATCGTTGGAGCGGAACTTTGTCGTTTATCCTGCGGAATTCTAGCGTTGCGATAAATCTGATACATCGAAACTTAGTTTCCTTTACCTTTGGAATTTCAATAACCCGGTGAACCGTTCGAAAGAACCTTGTTCGATTCATTTGGAAACTAACGTTAATTATCGAAGATCGTGCAACGTAGATCACTCTTCGAATTCGGATTAACGATCTAAGTAATCTAAGTTCAAGCAATTTCAAAAACCAATGTATTAACCGTTAATTCTCTCGATTGTTTTCTACCTAACCGCATTAGCTTCTAAGCGTGTAACGAAATAGACTAAAAAACAGCATTGACATAAATTATTAATCTACGTGGTAATCAATTAACATAAACTGCCCCGAGCTCAGGAAACTAGAATTCCAACGCCGCCCCTGAATACTCCACGATCTCGATCCGCGCGCGAGCGTCGCACCGCCGAGGAACTCGTTCTTTATTTCCATTATCTCCCCCGTTTCTTTTGCCCGACGTCCTCTATATACTAGTGTACTGCCTGAACACGCTGGGAATGCGATACGTCACGGAATCCACTGGCACACGTGTTACTTTGCACACATGGTCTTGGGAATGGAGCGCACACACGGGTGGCATACACGGTGTTTGAATGTCCGTCGAAGAGGAAAGAGAACGCACGAATCTCCGTTGTCTCCCTCCGAACACGTTCGCTTCGGGCTTGATCCTCTTCGCGGAGAATCCTCGAGCGTTCTCTTTCCTCGCTGGCACGTAAATGTTCCCGACACATATACGCATCGTGCTGAGAGTCGCGCCACGTCTGACCGAACCGCGCGCCTCGCATGCTGACATTGCCGCAACTGCTCGCCGACGAACGAATGACAAAAAGCAAAAGGGGGGAAAGAAAGCGAAAAGAAAGACGCGCATCGGTCCAGTGAACGGACCGCGCACGAGACCGCGGCGAGTCT